TTGTAGATTAAGGGGTAGTCGAGCATTAGTGTTGTAGGTTAAGGGGTAGTCGGGCAGTCGATTTATGTTGTGTTTCAGACTTTTGTATAATATTTGTGGTACTGCTTTCCATCTATTTGATGTCTCTCACGTTGCTGATATTATTTTTTCGGATTTTGTTGTCACAAATCTATTGTCTCAGAGCCGAGGGTCTCCCGAAAACAGCCTCTCTACCCCCTTCGGGATAGGAGTAAGGTCTGCGTACACTTTATCCTCCCCAGACCCCACTGAGTGGGATTTTACTGGGTTGTTGTTGTTGTTATCTTCTAAAAGGGTAACACAATGGACAACCAATACTACCAGCCGTTGGATCAAAGGAAAATTTTGCCAGCCTAAATCCACGCCGTTGTCCTGCCGACTGAACGTAATAAACATGCGTACAACTAACACTCTGTTTGGAACATTGTTACCCATCGTTTTATAATGTATTGTATTGTATCGTTTTGATGGATACAACGTTTGGATAGACTGTATCGTTTGTTGTTGTTAAATAACATCTTTATTGTTTGGTTTGACTGTATTGTACTGTACTGTACTGCTAAGTTTACTAAAATACCCTCAATTATTTTAAATACGATGCTTATTAAGAATTACTCATAAAAATAATTTATTCATTTGACCTCCGCATCATCCTCACAGGGAATCATCATCCTACTATAATAGCGAAAGCCCCAAATCGGTTTCATACAAACAAACAAAAAATTCACAGCCCCATCAAAGTAGACAACGGACCTTGAGTTCCTGACCATTAATGTGGCAAATAATCCACAACTTAAAGTGCATAATATAATAAACTTTTCTAGCAACATGACATATAAAATTCGTATCGATCTAGTCAAAGTCTATAAAATCCTCAATAGCTAAAGCATAAATAATGTTAGTCTAACTCAATTGCCAGGTGACGACATCAAGGTCAGTAAAAGAAATTTGCGGTCTTCCAATGGGTACCCCATCAGTGTGTGACACAAGTCTGCATGTTTGCAAAGAAATATATAAGCTTTCATGTGCATACTAAGCTCTAAATCCAACACTTGTACCATTTGCCATATCTCACTCTCAAGAATATGTGGCATAGTTGAAAGGCGATTAATTGCATTAGCCAAATTATTCATCCCAACTCTCAACATATCAGCCATGCCTTCAAGATGATTTTGTTTAGATTTTTTTTTCTGCTAGAAGTCGGTACCTCTGAATATGCACTCGATTTACGTGCTTCCTGAGTTGATTGATATTGCTCATGTTGTCCATGCTCCTCGATATTTTCCAAAGAGGCAGCATTCATGGAAATTAGTTCATCTACCTCATCAAAGTCAATGAACTATCACTTGATTTTCTCAAATTATTACGAGCACCCCTTCTTACCATATTTGCTCCAGTCTAAGCTTGCTTTCCAATAGCTCTATCCCTTCCATATAGCTCAATTAGCTTATCATAATTTCTAATCGAATTGTTTCTCCATTCAGCAGCTTCAGGCTTAGCCTACACAAAAAAAAAGTACAATATAATAATGCAGAAAATGAGATAAACATTATAAGATGCAAATAAAGAACAAAACTGCTAAAAATAAATGTACCTATATTAATTGATCCCATACTTCTAATTCAGCATTCCACATATTTGTGTTGGAATCCCATGCAAACCCGCTCATCCCATTTTGAAAGGTGTCATAACACTTGCTATTGTTTTAATATTTCTCATTCGGTTGTGAACTCTCTCCTTGGTAAAAACTTTATCTGAAAATTTTGATAGCATCTCTTTCACTATATTGTCAATCGCGTGTGCAGTAAAAGTTCCACCAACCTTGTTTCCAAGTGTGTGCTCATGATAGAATGCATCAATTAAGGCATCATCCATAGCATTTGACTAAATACAAACAGAAGTGTTATCTGAAAGATTTGTATCGCTTGAGGATGCCTTTGGCCTTTTCGGCATATTAACAACTACATAATTAAGAGATATTCATAAGACTTAATGAAAACTTTATCAGACATAATATTTGTAAGAGTTATAAAATAAAATAAATTCATAGTAATATGGTGTTCATCGACTTAGAAAAGGCGTACGATAAAGTTCCGAGGGAGGTTTTGTGGAGATGTTTGGAGGCTAGAGGTGTTCCCGTTGCCTATATTAGATTGATTAAGGACATGCATGATGGAGTAAAGACTCGAGTGAGGATGGTGGGGGGGACTCGGACCCTTTTTCGGTTATGATGGGGTTGCATCAGGGGTCAGCACTAAGCCCATTTTTGTTTGCTCTGGTGATGGTCGTACTGACGCGCCACATCCAAGGGGAGGTGCCGTGGTGCATGCTATTTGTAGATGATATTGTATTGATTGACGAGACGCGAGAAGGTGTGAACGCGCAATTAGAGGTATGGAGGCAGACCCTGGAATCTAAGGGTTTCAAGTTGAGCAAGACCAAGACAGAATACTTGGAGTGTAAGTTCAGCGGCGAGACTTTATGAGGGGAAGGGGAGGTGAGACTAGACTTGCAGGTCATCTTTAGGAGAGGGAGTTTTAAGTACCTCGAGTTTATTATTCAGGGGGATGGGGAGATTGATGGAGATGTCGCACATCGTATTGGGGCGGGATGGATGAAATGGAGACTCGCTTCCGGTGTTTTGTGTGACAAGAAGGTGCCACCGAAACTTAAGGGTAAGTTCTACAAAATGGTGGTCAGACCAACGATGTTGTATGGGGCTGAGTGGGGCTGAGTGTTGGCCAGTCAAGATTGCTCATGTCCAAAAGATGAAGGTAGCAGAGATGAGGATGCTGAGGTGGATGTGCGGGCACACCAGGTTAGATAAGATCAGAAATGAGGTTATTCGCGATAAGGTAGGGGTGGCCTCTATTGAGGACAAGATGAAGGAAGCGCGGCTTAGGTGGTTTGGTCATGTGAGGAGGAGGAGCACAGACGCCCCGGTGAGGAGGTGTGAGAGGTTGACATTGGAGGGCCTACGGAGAGGCAGAGGTAGGCCAAAGAAGAGGTGGGGAGAAGTGATTAGGCAAGACATGGTGCAACTTCAGTTGACCGAGGACATGACTCTTGATAGGAAGGTATGGAGGTCGAGAATTAGAGTAGTAGAGTAGGTAGTGTACAATGTTCATAACTTTAGTATTGGCACGCAGTCTCATTTTCTGTTGGTAGTAGGTTTTTATGACTAACCATTGTTTTCCTTCATTGCTGATCACTTTACTGTCTTGTTGTGTTATTCTGCTTTTATATGGCTTTTTGATATTGTCTCTTCTTGCCTATATTTTTATTAATGTGGTATTCATACTATCTTGAGCCGAGGGTCTATTGGAAACAGCCTCTCTATCCTCACAAGGTAGGGGTAAGGTCTGCGTACACACTATCCTCCCCAGACCCCCACGGTGTGGGATAAATACTGGGTATGTTGTTGTTGTTGTATTTATTCCATATACAAGCAACAAATCAGCCACACTCCAACTTTGCATTGATGACAAGTTTCTAATAGTGCAGTTGTTTTATTTGGACGAAATCCCACAAACCCGTAAAACTTTCTTGGCTAATCCTAACTTTATATTTGTGGGAGTTGAGGTTGCTAAAGATATACTAAACTAAAGAATGAGTATGGTTTGGTTTGTAATAGAAGGGTTGATATACGTGATGTTGCTGAGAGTAAGTGGCCTGGAAGGTTTTCTCGTCCAGGATTAAAAGATCTTGCTCTTGAAATATGTGGTCTTTATATGTGTAAGCCAATACATGTTTGTCAGAGTAATTGGGATGCAAGGGTTAAGTTTCATGGTTTTCTACCATGTAGACATGACATACTTCCAGAGAAACAGATACCATGATTAATCATTAATCCAAGTTCTTAATCTTAATACAGTATCCGACTTTAGATATCATTATAGTGTGAAGAAGATGGATGATTGTTACAACAGAAGCCACACATAATTCATGTTTTATATTTTTTGTCGGTTTTGACTGTATCAAACTAATAACTTGATGCTACACTTTAAACCATGATATTAACTTGATAACTTATATCACCAGAACATATAGTTTGCAAAGATCATAGATGAACTAACCAGAAAAAATACACAAGAAAAGAGATGGAAAACTAACGTGCTGTTTGAGAAAAAGTATTATTAATAAGTTATGGAGAAGACAAAGTACGAATCTTGATTAAGCAGAAGAAAATTGAATAGATATTTAGAAAACTAATTTTCAACCAAATGTCACTACAGAAATTATTTTAGATTTTTAGAAAAGAGATGGAAAACTAACCTGTGAAAACTCTTGTTTGGAAAGAGACGAAGTAACCATGGAAGTACGTAGTTGAGTAGTTGCACGGCAGAAAGAAGATGGAGACAAAGTACTTATTGGTTTGGTGAATATAATATAAATAATAGGATAAAGGGTAAACTTGAAATATAGAATAATAAGTGTGGACGTAATTGGAAAGAAAAATACAGAACAATCCCACCACACCGATTTGATTGTTTCATAAAATGGGGTTTTTCACTGTTCCGGAACAATGGATTTAACAATACGATACAATCAGTTTTATATTAACAATCAAAACAAACATTGTATCTGGGGTAACAATACAATACAATACAATATAACGGGAAACAACCATCCAAACAATACGTAAGCTGTTATTTTTCCCCCTCAAAGTGCAGCTTAAAGAAATCTAGAGATTGGTGATAGCAGCCCCAGATTGTATAGTACCAGCCAAAATATGCTGCCTAACAGTGGCGGAGCCAGATTGTTTTCTAAGGGATGTCAAAATATATACAAAATAACATCCGAAGTAATTAAGGGGATTCAACATATAATGTATATGTATAAAAGTAAAATTTTGACTCGAATACAGTATTATTTTCCGGCGAAAGAATATCAATTGACACCTCTTAGACTAAGGTGGTTCCGCCACTGCCAACACCAATGGCTTTGGAGTTTTTACGTTATGTTCTATCCAAGTTTTGTCATTGCAACAAAATATGCTGATCCACGGTCTTACATGTAAAAAAAGAAGTCTTAGAAGAGCTCCATTAACCGACAGCTTATGTGCTCACAAACATTCTTGTGCTGCTCCAGAGATGAACATATTACATTCCCGCTAGCTGCAATTGCAAACACTCACAAATTTTTACACTATATATCCTACTGACAAATTACATTGATCAGCCTCCAAAGTCCAATTCAACATAGCAATCTCTCGAGAAAAAGAATGATGCATCAAGAAATTACAGCTAATAATTGCATAAAAAATTGCGTAGAGAAGCCAATATTAATCAGAGTCCTGTGTACTGTATCTTTTTCAGTTGTTTTGCCTTTTCAAACTCTGCCGCATGGAAATTCTTTTCTACTTCCCAAGCTAGTTGAGACATACAATTGAAAGATGATTTTGCGCCCTTTTCGTCAGTAACTTCTCTGGGGAATGGGATACGGGCTTCAAATACATCATTTTGAGGAGACCTGAAGCGGACATCAAAACCTAATCTATCAACCCAGAGCATCTTGGCATCAGAAACCTGCGAGTCCAGCCCCAGAAAAGCAAATAAATAAATAAGTAGCCAAATAATGGTGAAGAAACAACAATAACAACAACATACCCAGTATAAGAAACAATAGACTAGGAAAGATTACATTCCTTGACCTGGAGCACATGTCGCAGGACATTGTCCCATATTGGAAGAGGAAGAGGTTTTTTATGGGTATATAAGCAATTGCTCTTCTTCTAGCTCTTTAAGAGTTGAGAAGAAGGCAAGCCTCGCGCCGCCGTCGTCGTCGCTCGGCTCGGCTTCGGACCAAATTTATTTGTTAATAGTAAAATAACGGATTCAGTCCAATCCGTTTTCAGTTGTGTAACTAAAAATTAAACTACCCTCTTCAATTTTCTTCTTTATTGTTGAGTAAATAGCCATTTATGTTATGGCATTTATGCTGTGACCGTTTTGCATAAACAGCCATTCTGAAGAGTTGCACCTCTTCAGATTTTAGCCCAACTTTGGCTATAAATACAAGACTATTCTGCTCAGAATTTCCATACGAATTTTCTGAGTTCTTCTCCTTTCTTCTGCATATTTTAACTTCAAAGGAAGCAACAGTAAGTGTGATTTGCTACCGAACTTTGTGTTCGCTGAAACACTGAGGCTTGAAGTACCACTACACCAGTGTGTAATTCGTTCTATCCTGGGAGGAAATAATCCATAACCTTCGGTACTAGAAGGGGATTAAATTCCTTAAGGAAACACTGTGAATTCAGTGGGCTCGAATTAAAATTCTGTTTCTGTTGTTCATTTTTGTTTATGTTCATTTATATTTTGCAGAATTATTTTACAAATACAGTTTACTAACATAAACTTAGCGAGCTTTTATTTGGTAAAAATGGGACATGGAGAAAATGATCAAATGGTACCTATCAACTAGAAAGAAAGCGAGATAACAATCAAACACAACTCTTGAGCCAGGTAAAAGGGCACATAGCAACTACTAATGCGAACCAGGGCCATCACAATGCTACAGCTAATCCTATTTCATAACCCAAAGCCTAAGCTCCGCAAAGTTCTTCGTATGTTGCTCTTGGAACTCTTATTTTATTTATCTTCAGTTAAATCTACAGTACATTGGTGGTCTATATGCCCCTATACCAACATTATTTTGGACTATTAGAGTTCCTTAATATTCCCTTCGTCTCAAAAATGTTGTCCTACTTTCCCTTTTCAGTTATTGCAAAACGTTATCCACTTCTCTAAGAAGGAAACTGTAAAATATTTCGAACAACTTTTATTCTTTTCAGCACAACTGCAGCCTATAAACTTCTCTACTCTTAAAAAAAGATAAGGGTGGAATTCTGTAATCAATATGCATATGTTCCACAAGTACTGAACAGATCTTATTGTCTACATGAAAACCACACAGTAAATACCAAAATTGTGTCATTTTATATGCATATGTCGGAAGTAAAATATTTTCAAGTAAATAATACAGAAAACTCAAACAGGCTTAGAACTGTTCTATATCGTATTTCAGACGAAAAAGAGAAAGAGAAATCTAAAGATATGAAAGTCGGAATATGAATATGATATAGGTAAAAACTAAAAAAAGTCAAGGTGCGCAAGCTGGCTCGGACACCACCATTATTTATTAACAACAACAACAAATCCAGCTTAATCCCATACGTGGGGACCACCATTATTATTAAACGAACAAAAGAACAAAAAAAATTAACTAACCCGAAACTTGGCTAGTTTATCTTATACTCATGCAAAGGACACTACTTGAAACAGAAAAGAGTTCGCACACCTAGACCTATAATGGAACTAAAGTGAAAAAGAAAAATTAAATTGGAAGTGAGAGAAAGTCAAAATCCATGTTCCCCACAAACCTGGAAATCCAAGTCTACATAGATGCTGCAAAACCGTAATATGTCTTCTCTATTGTGAGTATTTATCTCTTCAATCATTCTTCCTGCAAAGTCCCGAAGAGGATCAGGGTTCGCCAACTTGTAATCTGATGAAGTGACCCAAATTCCATCCTGAAAGTAGTTTATCATCTCATGTTATCATTATGGTAGCTGCAATCAGCAATCAACATGAACTATACTACTTAGGGCGAAAGAACAAACTAGAAGCTGTTTGGTGTGGATGATGTAAATTGTCCTATTATTTAAACAAATGTTATCATATAGTAATTGACTAAAGCTAACCTGTTTTGTTAAATGATAAAAAGGAATACTAACCAAACATGTTATCAAATGGAGATTAAATCAGGTTAAGTAATCTCAACCAAAGAAGCCAAAACAAACCTATGACTGGTTCATGGAAATCAATGAAATAAACCAAAGCAAACAGACAAACAAACCTCTGCAAAATCTTCAAGTTGCAGTACCCGTTCCACAGAAAGCAAAAATAAGTGGTCTTCATCTACTTCATGTCCAAATCGTTTTTTCCAAACTGAATGAAGCTTCTAGAGCAAGAAACTTGGAGTCATCAATAGAGAGTTTAGATTATCATGAAAGATCAAAACTTGGTAAAATTCATCAAAAATAAAGCACCAACTTAGAACATATGACATCATTGAAATTGGAAAAAAAAAGCACAAAGAAGTGAAGTACAACAAATCCAGTCATGCATGGTTACCATCAACTCCACATTATTTGAAATTAGTGAATGGCATCCTTGGAGATAAATGTTTCAGATAACCGCGGGAATATGATATATGTATATTCCTTTATAAATGACAACACTTCTTTTACACTGGCAAAGCATTGAAGCAAAGAAAAATCGCCGGACAATAATGGATATGAAAGATGGAATATCTCCATATTCAATCTATTCCTAGGTATTGCTTCCCTCTAAAGTCCTACATTTCATCACATCTGAGGTGCATAGACAATTTTCCATCTTGTCCTCGTCAGGTGCTGAAAAATCAACTTGCATGCTTTCTTCACTCTCTTTTAGTAACCAAAAGACATTAGCAGATGCTGAAAGACATTATATATATAACTCTAACGATACTGTGCACTTAAACCTTGCTGGAAATTCATCTTAAGAAGTGCAATAGTCAGTGTTAATTCCTAGTTTATGTTTACACTTTTTGCCAGTATATGTATCCATCCCAAATTCCTAATTCCAAAACTCCTATAAGAGTTCGATTGGATAGACAAGTGACATAGCTTTATAGGCTCCATCCAGTATCACCAGGGGCGGAGCTAGCATAGGACTTGCGGGTTCGGCCGAAGCCAGTAACTTTAGTATACATCCTGTATTTGTCTTAAAAAATTCATTGAGTATATATAAATTGTTAATTTAGAACACAGTAACATACATTTCAAAAAACGGAAGGCAGTAACATAAACGGCCTAGAATCTCGAACCCACAAGCTTCAAATAATGGCTCCGCCTCTGAGTATCACCTTTTAGCATATAGTATCAGTAAACCACATAAAAGAACTTTCTAGATATTTGTAGACATAATCCCCAGCGTAAAGAGGAGAAACAAATAGAAAAATCATTTTTTTTTCACCTTCAAAGCTGTGGTATCTTCAGGCTTTTCAAGAGTCCCTTGTACCGTGCACTGTGGAGTCCGCAATCCATATTGCTCTAACTGATATCAAGTTTAAATTTTTCCGTCATCAAAAAATCAAGTTGATAACTTTTAACACAAATGCATAATAATGTTTAAGATGCATCTGTACAGACCTGAACATGGATGGTAGACTTGCAATTGACAGATAATTTGGAAGTGGCGTCATTCAAAAAGAGGACAGGAGTTCCATGTGGATCAACAGCGAAACGGACACCAATGCCTAAAGGCCAACCATCTTGGGTGGGCGCGGATAAAGTTCCAACTGAAGATAATTCCATAATTGTCCTCGAAACTTCAGCTGGGTAGGGTTTCCCATTGTTGGTTTTTTCTGATTGAATTGGCTCGGATAGAACTGAAACTGCACATCTAAGAGGCCCAATTGAACTTTTGGGGAAGGTGAATTGAGCTCTATTCCAGGATTTGGTGAAAGGTAGTGCAATTTTAGAGAGACGCGTCGAGGGAAGAGATGAAGTTGGAAGGTGGGTCGCCATTATCAAGGAATTGGGTAACTTTAGGAGCACAACTCAATGCTGAGAAAACTGAGAAGCAAATCTTTTATCTAAGACGGCTTTTGCAAATTCAGTTCAGAATTTTTCTTTTCTGGTCTTTTTTATTTTTATATTTGTAGGATTAACTACACTGATTTCAAAATAGGTAATCCCTCCCGTTCACAATAAGTGTCAAATTTGCTTTTAGCACGCCCATTAGGAAAATACTAAATTCTATATAAAAATACCTATTATGACTAAACTATCTCTAATTAAATATTTAATGTAAGGAGTAAGAAAACTTTTTAGGGATATGTACATAGGGGTTATTTTGTAAAAACAAATTGAATTCTTTCTTGATTACATAACTGGACACTTATTTTAAACCAAATTGAAAAAGCAAATTGGACACTTATTGTGAACCGAAGGGAGTACTAAGTATTTGTTTTCAAACTACAGAAAATAATTAGAGTTGATATTATTGAGATAGGTCAAAATATACTATTGTTACTTCAAAATACGTGATATTATATTTTTTATCAGAAATAGTTGACAATTAGATTTTCATTGTTTTGACCATTAAAATCAACTAAAGACAGTTAATTTGGATATAAAAAGTATATGCAATATCTAGAGAATGTTCTCAATTACACCTCTTATATCCTAATAAATGTGACCTTATTAATTTTATTGGTCAACTAGTATTAGTATCCGCGCGGATGCGCGGACACTAATCATGTTAAATATTTAAGTTATTTGGATTGTATGTAAATAATCTTAAAATTTACACTTTCTCAGTAAATATAGATAATCATTGGATATTAACTACATGAAAAAAATTAACCATTTCTTCTATTTTTCTTTTTTGATACGATTCTTGCCGGTGTCATTATCCTAAAAATAGTCAGGAAGTAAAATAATAACTCATATTTATGGCAAAACAATCAAATGTTGAGACAATGAATGACTCTTTGGATAAGACTTAACTCTTTTACTACTACTTGAACTCTTATTTTTGGTGTGTTGATATCTCTTAAAAATATTTCTTTCTTAAAATTTCAGTTTCTAAAGCATTATTTTTCAATAATAATTATTTTTGTAATAATGTAATTGAAAATATTATTCTTAGTTCAAAACTTATTTTAGTTGGCTATCTAAAAATATAAAAAATTCTTTAGCTAGTGAATTTTTTTTACTCCATTTTGATATTTGACACCAACCATATTAAATATCTAAGTTATTTGAATTATATGTAAATAACCTTAACATTTAAACATTCTAAATAATTATAGATAATCGTCAGATATTAATTAAGAAACACTACATGAAAAAAGACTAAAATTTTGTCAATTCTAGTAGTGATAATTTTATTTTTGCACTATTCTCATAGGTGTCATTGGAACCTAAAAATAGCCACAAAGTGAAATAATTAACTCATAATTATGGAAGTACAAAGGTTGACACGATATAAACTATTCTTTTATTGCAACGTGACACTTATACTACGACTTGAACTCTTATTTGGTATGATTTATCTTTCAAAAAATATTTCTATTTTGAAATTTCAATTTCTAAAACTTTATATATATTATAATAATGATTATCTTTATAGTGATGCAAGCGAAGATATTATCCTTACTTTAAAATATACTTTAATCGGCTATCTAAAAATTTAAATGATTCTTAGGCCGGATTTATTTTAGTATGACTCAACTTTAAGTTTATCAATATCTCTAGCCCCAGAATTTAAATTTTTAATATCCTATATATACAAAAATTTTGTTCTTTGTATCATTAAATGTTAAATTAGTTGATTATTATTAAACATTGCATATGTTGTCTTAAAATTGTCAAGTAATTTATTTTTCGACACCATAATTGGCTTAAATTTCAATGCAAACTACTCAAATTGCATTCAAATTCAAATTCGAATATCATATCAGTTTGTTAGTAATAGTGATTTTTTAAAAACGACACATAATGTAAATTAAAAAAAAATATTCGAAGATATCCTTATCTTATAATCTATGTATTTGAGTTGAAAAAAAATATTTGAAATCGATGAGATTAACTTTCAAATTTTTTATACTCAACAAAGATGAAACATAAGAAGAAATTTGTTATCATCTTTTATTTCTCGTTTTTAGATCTTTCTAACATTTTTCTCAATATTTATTTTCTTTTATCTTATTTTTTATGTCATTATGTCTTTTGTTACAAAAAATTAATTTATTTCACTATAAAAGGATGAGTTTTGATTAAAAAAAAATTCTACATATGAACTTTAGTTATATTTTTAGTCTTTGGTTGAAATTATTTCATATATTTCTTTTGGCTTTTTCTAATCAGCCTAAATAAGTTCTCACCGACCACTTAATTTAAAAAATTGAATAATGCGTAATTTATATATAATTCATATATAATATGTGTATAATCGTGTGTTATCGGTATATCATCTATTTATATTAGATATAAAAAGTAAACAATAAATATGGCCGGATATTATGTAAATATTCCATAAGATTTCTATTTTTTAAGTTTATCCATGATATAACTTCTATTATAATAATGTTAAAACTCTCTACTAATGTTCAAAAATATCTCATCTTTTTATTATCTTTGAATTAAAAAAAGTAAAGAGTTTTTTCGAAATAATTTGTTTACATTTAAAAAAAAAATATTTCACGTCATACCAATTTTTTCTTTATATATACTCTTTGTTACAGTTAAAAGTCGCTATAGAAACTATCAATTAGAAATCAAATTATCTCTTGTTGAGTTTGAAAAAAAACCTTTCACATAATCTAATAATTCAAAATTAATATTCTTCAACGAAAAAAATATTATACCCTTGCAATATTGGCTTGACTACAGCTAAATGAAGGGGTTTCAGCTTATACCCTTCAATTCCTTGAATGTGCTAAATTGAAATTAATGATAGCAATTGTATAGCCTAAGTTTTGTTATTTGTTTGATGACCATTTATGCAAATTGACTCTTCAAACAAATATTCTTCAAGAAGAAAAAAGAAACACTTTTTTTTTTTTAATATTGACTGATTTTGTGATGTTTCTTTCTCCAGCATGTATGTTTACTTTATTATATATGTAAGTAAACTTTTATTTGGTTTGTAAACTCTTTTTTGTTATTTATATAAATATAGACGTGTACCCTATATATTACATTTATTTTAAAAGAATTTCGTTTTATTCAAATCTAGCTACAGTGTTTCAAAGAACTATACTTATAGCATTTCAAAATGTGAAAGAGTTTTATAGTTATATGGAGTAGTTTTTTTCTTTTTTTTTTTTGCTAGAGGCAAAGTAGTATTTAAATAATTATAAAAAATAACAAAAGTTCCTAACATGATTGCATATGAATATATGATCATTAACCGAATTAAGTATGATAACATGATAAAAAAAGATAAATTTTATTTTTAATTTAAATTCGAATTTTAGAACTTTACTATAAATTCAAAATTATCTTTTAATTCAAATTCTCTCTCTCTCTCTCTCTCTCTCTCTCTCTCTCTCTATATATATATATATATATATATATATATATATATATAATATTGTATTTGTATTTAACTAAAATAGTCAAATATAGAATAAAATTATCATATACTATTGATATTTATTAGCTTGCCACTTGGCTTAACTATAATGTCAATTATATATCGTAACTTTCTTGCTTTAATATATATATAGATATAGATTATTGACATCTTTTTTATATGATTTCTCAATTACTTTCCTAATTAAGTCTAACTATTGATCCATCTTAAAAACCTCGCATCTTTCATTAAATGGAAACTTTTTTTTTCCTCTTCAACGGTCGAGCTAATAATAATACTGTAATCTTTATATTATAGTCTCAAACTTGATTCGATATCTTGCCTTTTTTTTTTCATCCGATACCCACATTGGGCTGCGACTAAATTTGGATTCGCTCTGGGAAGTCCTACATTAGGGTAAAAGCACTTCCAAACAAAGCGACTTCATACCCAGAGATTTAAACCCGAAACCTCTGGTTAAGGATGAAAGAGCATTTACTACTCCACCACAACGCTCGTTGGTGACATCTTATCAGTTACCACTTACCAATAATCATTTCACTTTTGGGGTCTTCTTTCATTACACTGCTATTATTTTTTATTTCAAACTACTGTGCAAGGGCTCTCTTATGATTTACTTTATCTAATGGTTTAGTAAACACACTTAACGTGGGGTTCAATTTTAAGTCCAACACTCCTTTTATTCCTAATGGTGCTAACAACAACACGCTTCAGTCTCAAGCAAATTGAAGTGGTGCAAAAGAGATATAAACAACAAATATATATTCTGCTTAGCTTTCATCTGAATGTCCAGATTCCTAAGTGATCCTCATAAAAATTTACTTGCAACTAGTACTTACACCTTCAATGAATACAAAACACATGTCTTTCACATGCATTTTTATCACTCAACAATGCCAATGCGACCACGATTCTCCCCCCTTGTCCAACAAATTGCTCAATTATTTGATCTTCATGTGTTGTATCAGTGTGTGAAGATTGTGTTTATATATCTATATTTTAAGGAAGGAACATATCATGCAACCTCGGAAAAACACTAGGACATTTCCTGACTCTTAACTGTATTTTTGCTCTAAATAAACCGGGCTCCATAAAGACAAAAAAACTAGGACATTTCCTGCAAAATGCAAATACTCGCCCTACAAAAAGGTACTCAACTACAGAAGATCATCCAAAAGAAGTTTTAAGGTTTTCTATCAATAAACATTAAGCTTTTTAGTTGGACTATCCTGGTCAATGTCAAGAGAAACCAACATGAAAGGTAACTAATCCAGTTTTTGTTTCAAAGTATAACGAAAGAAGAATAGAAAGCACAGATGTTGATGGAGAAACAAAACTAGCAAAACAAGAGGTGAATGCAGCTCTTCAAATTTTCGCTTCACCTTCTCTTGGTTTATGCGTAGAAACGACCCACCATAACCTGCAAGGACACGAAATTAGACATCATTCATGACTTCATGATAATAATGCTTACATAAAAAGCTTAGACACACTCGAGGAAATGTTTGGTGTGTAAAAGGCTCCCCGTGAAGGAGGGGTGTGTGATAGGGATTTGGCTACAAGCCCCGGGGAGATGTAAAACTATGCATTGAGCCTACATAAAACTCATCCACAACAAGAACAAGAGGAAAAAGAATAATTGAAACTACTGGGATGGACCTTTTAATCTACATTAACCTGGAGAAGCTTAGAACCAAAAAAGGAGAAACAAAATACAAGATTCATGTCCGAGATAATAACTATTCTATTTAAACTTGCAGGATATAAGCGAGTCCTCCATAAATGCTTCATAATAGTACTTATTTGAGTGAAATAGAATCTGACACTTCAAATTCATAGTTGGCACTTGGCACCAACAGATATTCTGAAAAAGGAAGTGGTAATTTTGGCATCAAAGAAGTAGTAAGAACCTGGACCAGGTTTGCTGCAACCAGATGACCATTAACTCGACCTCCAACAGCAACACCAGATGAACCAGCACAGAGTATAGTCAGTGGTCCTTCTTGCTGAACTTGACCATCTTCAGATATAATATATTTTCCCTGAAGCTTTATTATTGAAAATGAACCCTGCAGGATGACATGTATAAGATAAGTATCTTAAGAGTTCAAGATAGGTAAATTCCATTATTCCAATTTACAGAGCAAGAATGGTTAACCAACGATGAAATTTGATAAGCAGAATGAGCAACATAACAGTGCCTTATAATTGATATATATCTTTTTATACTATTGGTTATTTTCCTTCTCAAAAACAGTGCCTTCAACAAAAAATTCCAAGAGGCATGGAAGGGCACTCCCAATTTTAAATAGTTTATTTCAGAAACTTCATAATTACAGTCAAGATCCATATTATTACTAACCTTCCTTTTAAGTGATACAGTTTGCACGAGTTGTGGAGTCTAATATCTATATTTGACTCAAATAATAGAAGATAATTAAAAAGGTTAGTCTTTAGGAAAGTAGGGAAGCATCACATAAGAAATATTAATATAACTAAAAGGTTAGTTTCATAGGGAAACATGACATCATATTTAATTTTGTTGAAAAATGAAGTTCAAGCATAAAACTTGTGAAAGTCGAGCAAAATAATATCATTATATGTCAAAGATTTTGAGGTTCAGATTGGACTCTAAGGAACCCATAGACAGTTATCACGTATTTGTCCCAGAAGAAACAGGTCTGCACATGACAAAGCGTGTTTAAACCTTTAATGGGGCATTTTACACAATTCAACACTTCCAAATTGAAAGTCTGTTACAAAAATTAGGAAGGAGGACTACTTTTGATAAAGAGGAAGGAGGACTACTATTTCGTAAATAAGCGCCGTACTTAACAAACTTTCCAAGAACAGACTTGGTGTACACCCTTTCTAATATTAAAGTTAATAGATTTCAAAACAACAGTTTTACAGATTACCACAATTATAAGTGAGAAAATGTAAAGTTATATTCGTATCTAATTACCACAACTAACTGTTTAGGTTATCTGTGCTAAATTAAGATGCCGAATCTTTTATGTAGTTACTAAAACGTTTACGTTATACTCTCAATAAAACAACTTAATGATCTTGGAATAGTGCTATTTAGGTTAGCCAAATTGATTCTTCATGAGGAAACATAACACTCCGACAGGGCAGAGAGAGTATTTACTACTACAAATATTTTTATCCATATTTAACATCTTTTTTTTTTTTTTGAGTTATCACAATACTTTAGTATATCTAATTTATGAAACTTAATAGTTAATAATTCCTTAGCTACGTCATCTTAACTAGTTTGCGACATATTAAATTTATTTTATTACCTTATCCAATGCTAATTATTGTGGCAGTAATGTGTTTAAACCCTTTTGACCAACCATGCATACTCGTCGAGTCTAATGAATGCAAATTATAGTATCTATAATGAGAGTGTCATAACATTTTAGTTTAAGTATCTTATGAAACTGAGTCGTTAAGACTTCCTTAGCTACGGGATCCTAAATAGTTTAAAGTATATTGAGTTTATCTTATTAGCTTAACGAATGCTAATTATTATGGTGCCTAATATGTTCAGTATCTTTAGACCAAACATGCACACTCGTCGAGTGCAATGAATGGATTCCCACTTATCTCACTGAAGAAAAAGAAATTTCCTTTTTGAGATTACCATCAACAACGTTTATTCCAATTTAACTACAAGAGGATCAAAGACCAGAAACGTGAATAAATGTCAAACACACTTCAAATCTTTGTTTCGACTTCCTTCCTGGTCCCACCCGACAAAGAAAAAGACAAGGAACAGAATGGCTCCATTGACACGCTTCTGTTCATTATTCTTTCTCTGCCTTGTATTAAAGAAACACTAATACATTTTAACGTTAGTGGAGCAAACTCACAACTTTAGACCCCAGATTGGTGTATCCATTTCGTGACTTGCCCATAAGTCAAAAGTTCAAACACCATACAGCTCGACTCACATTTGAGCTCACCTAACATAAATAAAAGAAGCCTGGCAGGCTTGAGTTTAGCTTAGCCTTCTTAAGCTGTATTAAATCTAGATTTGCCTTCTAAATCCCAAGGAAATCATTTAAGTTAAATGCATTATTTCGAAGTCACACCTTATTAGGCTCTAGCATTTAGAACACAAAACGTAGCTTCTAAACCTAATGAGATTCCTCTTACCAGTAAGAATTCTTACACACATGACATTAGAAATCTCCTTTGCATATCTAGAGAACACATTATGCGCACTACCTATTAAAGGAGAAAAACAGGAATAACGCAAATAAGATAATCAGGTACCTTATCTGAAGCTGATGAATTTTCTGTATCCATTATCGGGTCCAAAACTGAACCAGTAGCTGACAAGATAATGCCCATCTGCGTGCGACCATGGGAACTAACAGAATTATTGGTGCTGTTCCGAAAATAAGACAGAACTTTTTCTCCAACATCCTGAAAGGTAAACGGAGTTCTTTGAGTGCACTTCTATCACCCACTATATACGGCTTGCCTACTTTTGTAAAAAACCTCATTGCTTAGTCAAAAGAAAATGGAGAACATGAAAGAAGTACATTTCCAATTCTTTATCAAACAAATCTGAAGCGGTAATAAACTAATGAACATGACAACCATTGGGAAGATTAACAGAAGGTCCGCAATCTAACTGGTCTTCACTGATTGCTACTACCCATAGAGAAGTTATAAAACAAGACATAATACATAAAACCATGTTAGTCTTTTACTACCATTCAACAGGATGGCTAAATTTAGTATGTCTAACAAATGGAGGGAGGAGAAAAACATCATGATGACCGCCCCGAGCTACGTAGCATTTCACATTCCTATTTTTATTAAGTTCATATTCTTGTCTATATATTTCGTTTACAGCCATCTGGAAGGCCACTGCAATTATCCTTTAGGCCTCTAGGCTTATAAAATAAGGTAGAAAACCCACATCCTTTGTTATTACTATAGAATATATCAGCCACATTGTTGATCCAAAATTTAAAAATTAAAGCTTACGTAACAAATTTATTACCCTAACTACTTTCACTCTTATTTGTCAGGGAACAAAAGTGCATGTCGGGTTTTCTGCAAGCATATTTAAAACCCTAGAGATATGCTTCACGAATAGCAGTTTTTGTTCCATATGACCTGATTTTCTCGATGATATCAAGATATATGTATCTGACCTCAACTTGTTTAGGATTGAGGCATACTTGATTGATTCAATATACACAACTACCTAATATAACCTACACCAACAGTACTACACATAGGTAACGTATCCAATTTTCTTTTTTTCCAGATCATAATGATCCACTTATTAGATTAACACTAAGCTAGTATGCCAAAAGAGGCATTTCCAACTGCAAAAAGATACAGCAATATATAATGGTCAAGCCAGTAATGTAATCTTCAAACATTGGGTGCCTTCTGTTTACGAATGAGAACTTAATCAATTCTTCTTTTAATATTATAATATTGAGCGTTGAAAATTACTTACATAAGGTACATGTAGCGACTGCTGGATAATAAAGTCAGAACTGCAATAGTAAAATGTCAAAGACACGGGTGATGTAGGGTTTTGGTAAGACTTAATAATTTCAGGTAGTACAGTAATTGCCGTAAACTTTATATTTATTTACTTCTTTTCTTTTCTTCCTTTTTTTTGTAAATTCAGATGCTTAATAAGTATTGCATCTTCCTTCCAGCGAGCTTCTGACATTACTCAGCAACTAGGCAGAAAATGATTTTTCAAAAAATAGTGAAATATTACCTCTGGAAGAATTCTTGCCACTAATCTATCAAAACAAAAATATTCGTTCTTCTATTATTTAGCAAGTTCCCTTACGAGGTAAGAAGCTCCAAAGAGAATTATAGTCTCCTAATTTTGAGTATGGTTTTGCACTAAATTTCTACAGAAAACGTCGAAAAGTGACACCTCTATCATGGCCAGAGACAAAACAGTTAGACTTGCTAATGGAAAGTCATACAATAGGTAAGCAGTCAAGATATCAGCAGTGAAATTGTGTTTCTGGGAGTAGCCCAAGGGTGTTAGAATGAAGACCACAGGAGACCAGGGTTTGAATCCCAACAGAAATAAAAAGCTAAGTGATTTATTCATATCCACCTAAGTCAATGGGGGCAAAGTTATACGGTACCTATATTGGTGGAAGGATGCAAGTACTCAGTGGAAATATTTGAGGGGCACGTACATTGGCCCGGATGCCACTGTTATATTAGAAAAATATTGGTTTCAAGGATTGCAAGTACTTTAACCTGCTTGAAAACATTGTCGGAAACACAAAGAGCCATATGAAAAGGATACATGCAGTTTAAGCCCAAGTTTCTAGGATAGACCAAGGACAAAGGATCTTTAGCTGAAAGGTTTGATCAACAGTCTGAGATTCTAGAAAGCTTCCAAAACTTTAACTGTGCTATGAACAGTGTTTAGTGGTTTGGTTAGGAAATGAAGGTTTTATAAACAGAATGAGAACTTTGTGAAAGGTTCGGCTCTATGCTTAGGTTTTGGCGGTGACAAGAAACCATCAGCAGCAAAGAATGATTTGAGCGAACGAAAATAAAAAGTCACCTTCTTAGAAGATAGTGAGCATAAAACTTATCCATTTCAAAGAATGAGCATAAAACTTATGGCCTTAGTCTCCATCCGTTGTCCATTTAAAGTTATTAAAATTCAGCTCCTTGGTTCAATTTACCATGCTAAAAGTCCAAGTCTCCATCCACAAAGCAATGCCATATTGTCATTATGAAGATGATGAAGCAACTAAATCAAGGAGACAGAAGCACGCTTGGTGGAATCGGAAACGCATTACATGAAAAGGACAACGAGATAATTAAGGATTGCACCAGAACAAAAGCATACTAGATGACAAGGTAAGAGATATACTTTTCTTTCACAAATAGACAAGGCAAGAAATACACCAATGTTAGAGAAGAAAATAGCACAGAGAACAAGAAAGTTTTTCATGTCCAAAAGAATATGAACACTGGAGAAGTACAAAAATGAGACCTCTCCTAGATTGATAATCAAGGAATCCGCAAGTAACCCTTCATGCTTTGGTTCTGCAAGAATAAATGTAATAAGAGTGTTTAGTTTCAGAATTTAAATATGGAGTATTACATGAATGTTCTGTTACGGGCACAGCATAAATATTCAACTGACAGAAGCATTGAATATGACATACGTGTCGAGGAGCATCAATGTAAAATATGCAAACAGTTCTAGAAAAAGCATATATCTATAGAACCATATGATCTGGGCAGCACAAAAGCATTAGTCCCCACCAAAATTAACAGCATTAGATCGCAAAGCAAATGGGGATTATAAGTTAGAGAGCTTTGAGACACATAACACGCAGTCCTCTTTATTCTTTCTGCACAGACACATTCAACCTGACCTCATGAAAAATACTTTGAGCAATAGAAATTTTAAAAGAGCATAGATTGTGCAACTAATAACAATAGAATTTGTACATTCAACTTGCTTTCCAACTTTTTTTTTTCTTTTTTGTTCACCAGGGGGATGGTGTCCAGATTTTCTTCCTTTTCTCTTTTTGGCTGATAAAAGGATTGGAGAAAGATATAAAACCCCACTCCTTCTCCTTTTGAGTGGGAGAGGGTGAAAAAGAAAGAAAGACACCATTGTCCATAATCCTTTTCTTTCCTTAGTAGAGATTCTGCAGAATCTAGAGGTTTTGAAGACACGGGACATATGTGAAACAAAACTAAAAAAAAAAATCAACAATTATACAACCAAACAAAAATTGGATAGCCAGTACCATCAGTGCGAGCTTTCATCTTTCTGGGTCGTCGAGGTCTAGCCGAACTTCCAGAAAGCGAAGGTGCCTCGAGGGCAAGCACACATGTCTGATCCATCCCCTTACCAATAGAATCCTTGCCCGTGTTCTCTCCCATTTTAGTGTTTTTTTTTCACCACTCAAGAGTTGAAACTGTTGTTCTATGTTGAATCTTCTGTTTTGACACAACCAAGGTGAAAATATTTGTAGGCTTTAGGGGTTTTCTAACCAAGCCAGTTACTTAGTTATCAATAAAGCAATCCAGTGACTAGATTACAGACTGAAAAAGTAATAAATGCAGCCTATTTGTTTTCCATCTATTGGTTCTCCCAAGTAAGCACGGAATTGAAATAAGCCCCAGATTGGAAAATCCTTGACTATTTTCTTTTTACAGATATAATCCTACTTATAGGCATTAATAAAGCGCAATCCAAACTTTAGTGTTCAATTGATCAGGCTTGATCAATATAGCGGTACCCAAAGCAAGGTAGACTTCCTTCGCCCTCTATCCCCAAACCACTACCGAAACAAAATAAAACAAGAAAGACGCATCTAATCAAGGACTATAGTGACATCTTGAGAAGGTTTATACCTACATTGTTGACACATTAAGGGCACCTCAAAAGGCAGGCGAATATCAAGTGCCAACAATTCTAATATACATTAGGTGACAATGAGAACAGAACTAAATTCCCATATACAGTCAAATTTTGAACAAGCTAAAGCTATGCAGTTAACACGTGCTAAAGCAATGCAAGAGATTACCAAAATCCAAAAGTAGTAATGTAATCAAGTCTACAATTACTTTAAGAACACCTATCAAAATATATAAATAAATAAATAAATAACCATATTAGTTTAAATATTAGTGGGAACCAGTTAAATACCTTTCCATATTTTCCCTGATTCTAGATATTCACCTTGTTTTTCATAAGCATCTCAATAAACTGAACTAGAACCCCAAATTACCTTTTCTTCATTCTGCCAAAAAAAGAGAGGGAATAAAAAAGAGGCCAATAAAAAAGCTTATTAATTTACCTGAAGAACCACTAATTTCTATCAAATATTAAAATAAAAATACCTGAGGAATTATGGTTTTCCTATTTCGAATGTTCTACACATAATGGGAATAAGTAAAACACTGACGAAAGGCCTCGTTTATCTTATGCTTCGTCAATAAAAGGAAGTTGTTGTTTAATCCTCCAATCAAAATAGAAATCAGAGGGCGAGTGAGATCCATCGACTCTGAAGGAAGCAAGTGGTTTGTCGGTAATTGACGAAATTACCCTCAATTTCAGGTACATTTCAAGGGTATTATAGTAATAGAAACATTACCCGGGTATAATAACGGAGCCAGCGTAGTAATCCGTTCTGGTCAATCGAAGAAAGTGGAGGAGGAGAAATGGCGTCGAATGCAGCGGCACCCTTTTGGAGAGCGGCGGGGATGACTTACATAACATACTCGAATCTGTGTGCCAACCTGGTCAGGAACTGCCTTAAGGAACCCTACAAGACCGAAGCCTTGAATCGGGAAAAGGTCCACTACTCCATCTCCAAATGGGTCGATGGCAAGCCTCAGAAACCCAGTAAGCAATCCGCTTCCTCTCTTTTTTGCTTTTTTGGTATAAAGTTAAGATACTTTGGTCTCCTTAATACTGATTTGACTGCTTTCACACAGCTTTAGATCGCTTAGTTTCATTTTCGTTTCAAATTCGCTTATTAGGGATGGACGTGTATTTATTTTAGGGTCTTCTATATGATTCTGGCAAATTTGTTATTTTGAGGTATCATAAGTAGCTGTTTGTTTTGAGGTTTCATTTTCCCAGGTTTAGTCTTCTGGGAAAATGAAAATTAAAGGACATTCGGTTTTCTCATTCACCATTTCAGTTAGTTTAAGACAGGTTTCTACAGATCAAATCTTATAGTTAGACTGAGGGACCAATTTATGTGGTAAGAGATTTTCCGCCACTAACTTATATAGAAGGGAGGTGGATTTTGAGTGTTGTTAAGTTTGCATTGAGCTCTATTAATCAGTGATCTCAGAGCCAACTGATTTTGTTTTTTGATTTTTGGTTCTTCCCTTTTGGTCATTTAGCTTATGCTGGATTGAGTATTATTCGTCCTAACATATGTCCCTTCTTGCCATTGTTCTAATTTAACTATTTGGTATTTGGTTTCTCCTCTTTGTCAAGTTATAAATAGCAATCACAGATATCTTACCAATCCAGTTGGGTTTTTTTTCTAAATAGTGTTAAATACTTCATTTTCTTATCCAACCAAGCCAACCATAAATTATTCTAATTAATTTGGTACTGCTCAAGGATTATATGTCCTCAAGACATGATCCTTTCTTGCCACTGTTGTCTAATTCAGTTATTGTGTTTTTGGTTTCTTAACTCTTTGTTGTTTAGCACTTTAGCTTATAATGGATTTGACTATGTCCTCAAGACATGATCCCTTCCTGCCGTTGTATACGCAGCACAAATTAATTCCAGTGCAGTGACACATCTTACCACCATCTGCTCTAGTTATAGCTGATTTTTCAACTAGAACAATACTATCATTCTGTCTCCAACATCTTATCAATCATCAGAACATATATCATGTTAGTCAAGGTCTTAGATTTCCAGGAATGTGCTGGATTTGGTTTCTCTTATAGGCATTAAAATTTTCTGTATTTAACTCTTTTTGGCTGATAGAGGATTAACCAAGTGTTCAAACATAACCTTGTCTGTCCTTATGCGCTCCAGTTCTTGTCTTGGCTCATTATGAAAAATATATAGTGTGTTTAGTTGTCCATGTTAATATGTCACCTTGAAAAACTATTACTTTTTAGTTATCTTCCTGCCTTCGGTTGAGTAGAAAGTCAGGGGGCATATGATAAAGGGACGGGCCGTAGTGATGGTGCTTTGGTGATATTTTGGGGTATTGAAAGTTTGATATCATGTTTACCACGGACCCAGTTCAATGTCTTATTTGTTTTTAAAACTGAGATGTACGTCTTGAGTGAAACAGAACTGGATAGAGATGGAAGTGGAGGATCAGAATGGTGAGACTCTATTAATTGATATTAACGGGTGACTGTAATCTACAGATATGTTACCGACATCCATCTATGCGCTCTTTATATTTGGTTTCTACATGCTGGATCAATAAATGGTTGAATTTATGAAAATATAGGAATCTTCAGAAAAATTAAAAAGAGTAGTCTTATTAGCATGGCTGTTCACAATTTGGTGTGGTGCCTTGGATATATAAAATAAGCAAGCCACCACTTAAAGATTGGTACAATAAGGCTGAAGACAAAAGTCGTGCACTTGTGTCTTATGTTCAATTTGCTACTTAATTCGTGTATTTACATGCAGGATTAAGTTAATATTTCTACATGATTGTTGTGTGTTCCTTTTGGTGTTTCAGATATTTTTTATTTTGGTGGGTTGAGGGGTGTTGAGGATGGATTTGACTAGTCCATGCATTCGTTATTTGCTTTACTTGTCTTATTAGCTTGAGAAATACTAGTAGTTTGCTTACTGATAAACGTTTTTGCCTGTCTTCTTCACAGCCATCCGCTCAGACACTCCGGAAGATTGAAAATAAGGTTGAATATCAGGCATTGTTTCTTCTTTTGAGTGAATTTTGTACTGCCTTGGCACTGTACAGAGTGCTCATCTGCTGGAGGTTGAATTTAGGACATTTTACTTTCAATAATATGGCCAATAGACTTTGATCTTTTCTGTTGGATGGAAATGAGATAATCTTTCTTGTGTTTATGTTGAATCTTCTATTTTTTTGAAATTCAAGTGAATTAATAATCACTAATTTGCAATTACGCCTAGCGGCACAAGGATGCTGTAGCCTGTGGTTGAGTAGGCGAGAAGTTAACAAAATTTTGCTCGTAGCTAAATCGACTGTCTGAAACTGGTCGTTTTAGACATTGCCCTGTCTAAAGAAATGTGAAATTCTTCTTCGTGTCATTTCTGGAATTTCTATCTTTATAAGGAGAGCCAAGTCTTTGGGGCCATAGCTCTCTGAATGTAGTACACCGAGTCATAGAAAATGTGTAAAATTTCTATATTTATTTTTTTTATACTAGAAGCAGCTATAATTAAACGTTGCAGATTAAGAGCCCGTTTGGCTTAGCTGATTTAGAGTAGCTGATAAGCATTAGGTGCTGAAAAGCACTTTTAAGTGCTGAAACTGATTTAAAAAATAAGCAGTTACGTGTTTGGATAAAAGTGCTGAAATTAATAATATGCAGCTGAAGAACTCGGTATACGAAGAGTTTATTTTAAAAAGAAGTATTTTAGGGATAGAATAGTAAATATTTGGTCAAACTTAAAGTGCTTATAAGCTTAAATTTGATAAGTTGGGGGAGACCAACTTATGACTTTTTGGCTTATAAGCTAAGCACTTAACTTATAAGCACTTTTAATTTTACCAAACGCGTAGATAAGCAAAAAAGTGCTTATAAGCCAGTTTGACCAACTTATAAGCTTAGTCAAACACCCTCTAATTATAAGAAGAATGTCAACGTTTTAATCAGACACCAAGCCATATCATTGTCTTTCTTTTAAGCTAATTAATTGGTCCTCATCTGGTGTTGCCCCATTTTTTTAGCTGACCATTCCAACAGTAGCTTTTTTTT